TCAGAGTATGATATGATAGCAACCTAATGACTGTCTTTGACCGCAGATGAGTGGCAAAACCATGTGTATGTTGTTTAGCTGAGAAGACACGAAATAGTACAACAACAAAATTACATTTGCATAGTGCCTTTCACATCGGGAGGACGTCCCAAGGCGCTGGACAGTCAGTGTTTTGGACCCAATCGTGGAGGGTGGAGAGCAAGGGAAGAATGAGGGTGATTAAAGGCACAGTCGAAGAGGAGGATCTTGAGATGGGTCTTGAAGGAAGGAAGGGAGGGGGCAAGGCGGAGGAACTGCGGGATGGAGTTCCAGAGGGTGAGCACAGAGTGGGCTGAAGGCTCGCCTGCCAATGGTGGGGTGGGTGAGGCAGGGGACGTGAAGCAGGTTGGGAGCGGGCAGGATGGTAGGGGGTTAGGTGGTCATAGAGATAGGGGGGGGCAAGGCCATGGAGGGCTTTGAAGGTGAGGACCAGGATCTTGAACTGTATCCAAGCCAGTGGAGTCGAGTGAACCTGGTGGTGAGAGGGTCACTGAGCCTGGTGAGGGAGAGGACATGGGCTGCAGAGCTCTGGATGATCTGCAACCTACGGAGGGAGTAGTTGGGGAGGCCGACAAGCAGCGAATTTGCTTCGTGAGGGCTGGATGTAATGAAAGCGTGTATGAGAGTTTCGGCTGCCTGCGGAGTGAGACAGTGGCGGAGCCTGAAGATGTTGAGGAGGTGGGGGAAGGCAGAGCGGGTCATGGCGCAGACGGAGGGGAAGAAAGGAAAGTTGAGGGTCAAACAAGACCCCAAGGTTCCGGACTGGCTTAGTAAGGTGGAGTGTGCAACCATCGATGGTGATGCTGTCAGCGCCTGAGGTGAGGAGGCGCTGATGGGAGCCAATCAGGAGAGCCTCGGTCTTGTTGACGTGCAACTGAAGGCTTTCATCCAGGACTTGATGTCTGACCGACATTCTGTCAGGACCGAAGTGGTCCTGGAGTCAAGGGTGGAGGCAGAGAGATACAGTTGGGTGTCATCCGCATACATGTGGAAGTTGATCCCATGTCTGCAGATGATGTCACCAAAAATGAGCATATTGAAGAGGAGGGGATCAAGGACAGAGCCCTGAGGAATGCCACACGGAAGTGGTGCAGGAGCTAGAAGAGAAACCGTTTTGTGGAGATGAAGTGGAGACCGTGTGAGAGGTAGGATTTGAATCATTCAAGGACAGAACCATGAAGGTTGAGGTGAGGGTAGTGGTGGAGGAGGATAGAGTGGTCAATGGTATCAAAGGCAGCAGAGAGGTCAAGAAGGATGAGGAGCCCTGTTCGCAGATGGCGAGAATGTCATTTGTCACTTTGACCTAAACTGTTTCTGTGCTGTGGGCGGCACGGAAACCTGATGGCAGGGGTTTGTGAAGGGAGTGGCAGGAGAGGAACAAGCTAAGCTGGGAAGCAACGATTCCTTCCAGGACTTTGGAAAGGAAAGGGAGGTTAGAGATGGGGCGGTAGTTTGAGAGCAGGGATGGGTCTAGGGATGTTTTTTTAAGGATAGGAGTGATGACGGCCATTTGTAAAGGGGTGGGAATGGTGCCAGAGGACAGGGAGAAGTTTATGATGTCTGTGAATAGAGAGACAAGGAGGTGGAACTGGGAGGTAAGGAGAGGCAGGGATGGGGTTGAGGTAGGAGGTGGTTGGTTTCATGCGGGTTATAGTGATGGTGAGAGAGGAGTGGGAGACAGGTTCGAAGGTGTGGAGGGAGGGATGGGTAGGGGCCAGGGTGTGAGAGGGAGATGGGGAGGGGTAGTAGACGGAAAGGGAAAGGAAGCTGAGCGGATCTCCTTGACTTTGGTTTCAAGGAAGTCTAGCAGCACTTCGCAGTTGGCACTGGAGAGGATTGGAGATTGGGCAGTAGAAAGAGAAAAGGCTATTCGGCCATCAAACCAATCCCTTCCAAAACACACTCTATTGTGGAATCCAAGCTACCTACTCTAACTCCTGGGAAATGTGCTGCACGGATTGTTTCTAATCCTCAAAATCAATTAAGCAAAGTCTCCAGAATATTCACTCCCCACATCTCCACTATTCAATCCTTGCTCCCTTCCCCTCCACTCCCTCCATCCCAGCAGTGCAATAACCACTATGTCTATTTTGGAGTACACTAAAATGGATTGAGAAAAGCTATTTTCTCCTTATTGAGTAGAGATTCCTCTTTATTAAAAAAAATGTTTCTCTCCTCCCTTTATTAGGTTTCAGCACATCTTGTTCCTTCTCCAATCTAGAGGTCAGGTGGATGCCTATTCCCAGCTCTTTGCCAATAGTACTCTGAAAGCGCACATTGAGAGGACAACCTTCTTTCTGCAGCGTCCTATCACATTAATATTATGCTTGTATTCAAAGATACAATCAAAACATGCACACTCATGGCTGTGAAAAGGCAAAGGTGCTTTTTGTTGAGAAGAATTATTGTTTTTTGCAGCTGGTTGGTGAATATATACTGATACAAGTTCAAGCCTGCAAATTGAGCTTGATGCAAACCCAGTAAAGATTTATTTATATGAACAACAGATGCAGCTATACAAATACCATTTTTAAAAGGAGTCACTGATGAGAAATCCTGGGCTCTGAATCAATTTTGATTCAAACTCTTTCTGCTGGAAGGCTTTTGTTACTGAGAAAACATGTCCATGGGTAGTCCATGGGCTACAGATACCCTGGACTACCTACCATCAAAACAAAACATATCGCATTGAAACGCAGTTTATTTCCCTATGTTCGCATTTTATGATCTCAGTTTACAGTTGCAGATAAAGGTGAGGCACAGGATGGGGTGTGTCTGTACAGCTATGTAACATTGTAGGAATATCTTATAACAAATAATAAACCACAATGGAATATTTGCTTAACCATACATTTCCTGTTGGTGAGAGTTAGACGTGTTTCCAGACACAGGTAATCTCTTCAAGAAACGTGCTTTCTGTACACAAAAATTGCTGGTCCCACTTGCAGCCGAAAAGAATCTGTGTCTATTCTTTGTAAAACGTTAGTAAACAGAAATGTCATGCTGCTCTTTTAAATAGACAAGAGGGTTGAAAAAGCTTCCCCCAGGATACTGGACAGTATTACTAGCAACTCACTGCCTGGGGAAGGAGTATTTCACAGCCTAAACTGCATCTCGAGGAAGGTACTCCATTAACATCATACTTTGCTCTGACCTAAGAAGGACTAAGGTCACAACAGTCAGCATGACTAAATGGGGCTCCTGCTGCAGACACAGTTTATGACACACTTTCTGCCGATGAGGCACCAGTTACACTATCACTTTCTGGAGGAGGTTTTTTTTACCCAACCCCATCAGTTTAGGACATGTTTAGACAGCAAATTGCTTGGAAAGCAACATGAATGAGACACAGATGTTTGAGTGCATGACACAGCTCCAATGTGGATTCATTTTGCCCAGAAAACATACAGTATATTCTGGGAATCGCTTTGAAATGTCTCAGTACATAATCATATTCATGCTGTAAATATGGTCGCATAATGACATTTCACTGGCATTCAGGGTAAATAGCTGGTGACGTCAAGCTGCAGTTCATTTTCTATTTAAGAGAAATAACATTTTTCACGAGGTAAAAATATGTACATAAGCACAGAATATAGCTGTGCTGACCGTTATTTTATAATTATCACGTTATTAATATAACATGATAAAACGTTATATTAAATGCAAAGATTATTATTATAAACATGAAGGCAATGCATTGCACTTGTATGTAGAGCTAAGTAATAGCCGAGATGCTTGTGACTTGGTGTGGGAGCAGTGTGCTGTGCAAGTGAGCTGGATTGCTGAGGGTAGTTTACTTTATAGTTCATCTAGCAGCAACAATTTCCTATCACCAGCAGAACTCAGCCTCAGCGGGAGGGAAGCACAAAGCTATCACACAAAACAACAGGGAACTCTGAGAGAATAGTTTTCTACGTCAAACTACTTCCTGTGACAGAGACCTGTGAAATTCAATAAGCTGCAAGATTTTAAATGGCATTTAACTACAGATCATTCAGCTGTTTTTTATCCGCAAAAATGAAACCTTGGTTTTGTTGTTTTCCCAGGGTCTATTTTTTCTGTCGAAAAGGGAAAATTAGGGAGGCAGTGCAGGGTGGGGGGGGNGAGAAGATATTGACACCCAACCCCCCCACCTAGATAAATTCAGCAAAAATCAGCCAGTGAAATGTCATTATGTGAACATATTTACAGCGTGAATATGATTATTTACTGAACCAGCACCAAAGCGCATCATTAATTTCCCTACTATACAACAGAGCTGTCCCCAAGATCATGGAAAAGGTGTGTCGGGAAAGACAAGCAGTCAAGGAACTGCAGCATTGGTCTTTGATTAGCGACAGACTTTGCAGAATATTTGCTCAGGAGATCAAATGCATATGACAGGATGAATGGCACTTTCAGAAGAACTAGAAGGAACAGGCTTGATGGATCAAATGTTTTTTTCTCATTCCAACGCTGCATGCCTACCACACACAAAGCAACAGGCAACATACTTAACACACTAAAATCTCTTTCCAGCACTAATTATACTGTAGTGTAAAATGCGATCAGCTGCCTGTCTGTCTGCAACTCCAAATACCCGACTGTCCAGTACCTTGGGACGTGCTCCCGACGTAAAAGGCACATTACAAATGTAATTTTGTGTTGCTGTTGTTGCAGTAGTGGTGGTAAGAACAACAGCACAGCACGAGCTGCTCGTGAATGTGGGCTTTACCCTTATAATCTGAAACATTGGAGTGCTGCAATTCATAGCAGCATAGATTTTCAGCCAGAGAAAGAGACTTCGAGCTTGTCATATTGTAAGTTTTTAGGCAATTAATATAATCAACCCCACTTAATAAGATTGACATAGCATTTACTTCCAGGCAGATTTACAGAGACATCCTGTAAGCATTATAAAATTAGCTAATACTTCCTGTAGTCTACATTGTTTCCTGAGAGAAGCAAAGAGCTCTTACGTTAATGCTTTATGATTTTGTTCAATTGCCTTTTCAAGGTCCTCCTTCTGATCAGGAACAAAGCGATATTCAGATACATAACCTGCCATGTGCTTATAAGGATCGTAGTCGCCAATCTCAGCTAAATAGGAAGAAAAAAAATCAATTAGCAAATGTTTCGCTTCCACATGTTCAATTAATTCAATCAATAATTTTTCACTTTACTGCCCAATGCATTTGGGAGTTCACATTGCTTTAACAATATGAAAACATTTAGCTCCACAAATCATGGTGGCGGCTAATGCTATTTATTGGTACTTCATGTTGAACATAATTCTTCCAGTTTTTATATGAAGGGCAGTGTTATATACAAAAATAGGACCAGAAAAATATGTCTGGTACTCCTACAAGGATCCAAAGTTCAAAGAATACCATACGATACTCTAACTATCACACCCTTCAAATCACATCTTTTGCCAAAAAAAAATTTAATCTTATTAAATTTACATACACTATCTCCCTCCACTATTCCCTTCCATTATGTCCTTGAGCAATCTGTTCCATACATTCAGCACTCTCAGTGTAAAGTAATTGAATCTAAACTGTTGATCAGCTTAATCTTCAAGGAAATATTTGCTTATATCAAACATATTATAACAGTTTATCTATGCTCTTAGAAGCTTAATAAGATCTTTCCCTTCTCTAAGTTAACCATGTCAGTATCTGCAGTCTTTGTAATGTGTTGTGTTCTCCAGAGTTGTCTGGAGAATTTGACAATTCATCGTGAGCCTATCACTATCATCCGTGATCATCCACTCATTCCTGTGCAATTATTTCCTTTATAAAAAAGCAATTTGCTGTTTGAGTATCACTTAGTAAATAGTCCCTTTGACAATAGGACATACAACAGAATCCTGGCCACTGAAACACAATAACAATCCCCAGCAAGTGAGGTTTGATTTAGTTAAGATATTCTCATTTTGTCACCCATTTTCAAAATGTCCTGCCCAGAAACAAAGCTCAAAAATGTTATTCAGCAAACCAACGAATGGGTACAAGCCATCCTCTAACACTCTTTGGCCGCTGAAGGTCCATAGCCTCTTAAAAGCATAATCATCTCAAATCAATGATGTTGTGCATAGTCACGTCTTGCTGCAGCTACACTTTCTAGCAGTTCCTGGAATACTGCACTTATGGGGATTGCAACCCTTTGATGTGGAGTTGCATATGAGCACAAAGGAGGAAAAGATGCAAATGACCAACTGTTTTATTAAAAAGGGACAAGTCATACATATCTCAGTTATTTCAACAGGCCTTAAGTTCAGACTTAATATAAAACAATTTAATTGACATCTTATCCGTTCACCATCATGTGCTAGAAAGCCAACACTGCCTAGCTGTAATAAATTTAATTTCTCATATTACATCCATGCATGTGTTGCTGGATTAGCTATTTTACAGTCTTTGTTCATGTATCATATAATTGAAAAAGCTCATTAGCCATATGCAATATCACAACATGTACTTACACTGAATAGCGTATGCACCCAACTGTGCAGCAATGTTGATTGGGCACGGCAGACGGCCTTGGAGGACATCCTGTTTGACCTGTAGGTAAAACTGGTATCTAAACAGAGAAAAGTTTGTACAAAGTTATTACATTTGCTTTATTTGACTTGCAGAGTACACTAGCTATGGTTTTTCAATAGACTGTGATTTGAAGAGTACCAAGTTAAGACCAAGGCACCGATAAGGACTCAGTTTACAAAAACATGCATTGTTTTCTACATACTTCAATCAGCTATTCAATTTCAACACAAGAAATGCATTCAGTCAAAAGTCTAGGCATGTTTTTAACAACAACAACAACAACAAGATTCCATTTATTGAGCGCCTTTCACGTCGGGAGGACGTCCCAAGGCGCTGTACAGTTGGGTCAGGACCCAAGCAAGGGGGAAATGGTCAGGGTGAGGGGAGGGAAGGGAGGGAGCGAGGAGAGGGTAGAGAGTCGAGAGGGGAGCTGAAGGCACGGTCAAAGAGAAAGGTCTTGAGACCGGCCTTGAAGGAGGAAAGGGAGGAGGCAAGGCAAAGGCACTGGGGGATAGAGTTCCAGAGCCTGGGGGCTGAGAGGCTGAAGACCCGGCCACCGATGGTAGGGCGGTTGGGGCGGGGGATGTGGAGCAGACCGGAGCCAGAGGAACGGCACTGGAGGAATAAATATACAGTACTGAATCGTACTGGCTGTGTTGTATGTTCCCTCCTATTCATGGGGTTAATTAAAGAAAGACTCCATCATACCAACCTAATTCAACCCATAATAGTAGAAATCTCATGCAATAGCAGCAGCAGAACCAATGTATAATAGAGATTTCTAAATGACTGAGCAGTTATTGACTGCAACACAACTGAAGTGGAGCACAATTCCCTGTATGTATTTTTACACTTTACATTTTTTAAATTAAATTGAAACCACCTGAAAAGAATCAGATAGTTTGTGAATTGAATGCAATGCAGTCTATTGTACCAGTTATGTAAACTATGTATAAATGTTTTATTAGTTGTTAATTATGTAATTACGGGCACCTGTAATTTTCCCTGAACACATGGTTTACCCAACTTGCATAACATACCCCAATGTGCCGTTTTACACTATTAGAAACCATAGAGAACATGGAACAAGAAAAGACTATTGAGCTTATGAAGCCCATTCTTTTCACAGATAATATACAATCGACACCATGGATTGTATCCAACTCATTCAGTCTGTCAAAGAAAAGCCCTGCAAACTTGTTCTCTTCCTCGTCAAGGCAAAAATGCCTCATTTCCCTTTCACTGTCATTCAACAGCCAAAACGTTGAGTGTGACTTTTTTTGGAATGTAAATAGTTAAGGAAGGAATCTCAGTCTTTGGAATTGTCTGAAGCTGTAGTCAAATTGGGATTCTGAGTGCCTGAAGCAGCTTTTAAAAAAATCATTGCATGAAAATCTCTCAGTGGCTACAAAATGGCTGCCACATTGTATAGGTGGATATTTAAGGCTTCATATATTTCAGAATTTTAGAAAAGACAGCACAGAATGAGGCTATTCAGCCCATTGAGCTTATGTTAGCACTAGCTCCCCAAATGAAGCTACACACTCAAATCCATAATAACTTTCTCTTTCATAAAAGAAACCATCTGGTAGACTGGCCAATGCATATGTCACATGCACAAGAAAAAGAAGAGGAAAAAAGGGCAGAAATAGATTTATTGCAAGTGACAGCTCCCTTCCTCACACTCAGAAGGAAACACACATTTGTTATTTTCTCTATATCTTTTAAGTTTGTAACATGCTGCTCTACAGATTTATACAGAAGGAACGTTCTCATTCTCTTACACCCACTCAATTGAAAATATTGTGCTTGCAAGGAAAATGCAACACAAACTCTTGTCTAGTCAAAGCTAGAAAACGCCATAATACTGGTTAAGCATTGGAATCTGCTGTTATTTGACAGTACTTTCTTGAGACTTTGACATAATAGGCATTAAATCAAAAGCAAGGTTTAGAATATTTTATTATTATCTGAGCAATGAATATTTGATAGTTAGAAATCTCTAAAATTTAAACCAGTTTGTAAGATAAAGCCAACAATATATTTCACTTATAGGCACAGTCCAAAAATTTTTTTTTGTTTCATTACCTTGTTATCTCTTCTTTAAGTTTACAAGGATCTTCTGTATAGAACTTTACACCAAAATATAATGTGTAGGGTGGGCCAGCTGCAAGGAAATAGACTGTCATGTGAGATGCAATGAAAAGACTAAAATAACTTGCTTCACAGTTAAGCAGTTTGAAAATCTATGCATTAAATGAACAATTACCTAAACATTAAATGAAATTATTTCTAATATCTGCAGATCACTACACTACGAATATCTCCATAATTCAAAAAGGTAGCTTCTCCTCCAGATATAATTGGTCATTCACCTCATGGCTGTTTATGGGGCACTGCTGTGTGCAAATGTTCCCATCAATATGCAAGTCACAACATTTTGCAAATTACACCATCTATAGTTAAATGCAAGTATTATTATTCATGTTGTAGATACATTTGCTAGTGGCCATGCAGGGATAATGCTGCAAGAGCATTTTTAGACTCCTGCTGTAGGGTGAGTTTCGTGCATCTGTGATGTATTTTTCTCTTAAAACATCCCTCGGTAATGTATGATCCTTTTCCTTTCTCCTCAGTCATGCAAAGGCTAACAGCAAACACATATCTCACTGTGTGAAACAATCAAATATTAGAGTTTAGCTCTTCCACCCCATTTATCGTTCTTCTAGATACCCTGACAATCTTCCTCATTCAAAGGATATCTTATTTCTAATATCTCTATTAGAAACAACAACTCCTGGATGAAGAGTAGAGTGATTGCCTTTCAATTTTCCCTCCCCAAGTCTAGAAAATATCAGCTTTCAATATAGCCTCTGCCCTGTGCTCATCACTGGGTCACACCTCTTTATATTGTCCTGGACGTCACGAATCAGGGCCGAGGCATTCTGTAGTTAGCCTTACAAGGCAGCAGGCTGATGTGCAAAAGGGCCAGCAGAGACTTTACTTACTGTTTATGAGGTCCTTGTGTTCGGCAAGGGTTTTGGTGCCATCCAGCCAGTACTGTTCAAAATAAACAAAGTCAGTAATAGTAGAAACTTTGTCCTTTCATTTCAGGTTGATTTTTACAGCAGTGTAAATAACAAATTCTGAATCATATTTTGTGAGCACGGGCTGATTTTTGTCAATTGCAAAAATGGTATATCATGTCCTTTGATTCACCTGCATCTTAAATTAAGATTATATTTTCCTATTAAATTAAATTCCTTTTTTTGGTGGTCCTTTTTNCATTTTTTTNAAGGTAAAATGCTAATTTAATCTCTTTTTCTAGTCTTGAAGCCCCAAAATCTCTCACAGACTCAGATGTAAGGCCGCTGTCTTAAATTTCTCCTCCTGACCTTGTTTGACACCTTTCTCTTTCTACTGGCTTCCGGTGTTCTCCAGTACTTCAGCCAACACATGTGTGTTCCTTGGTAGCAAGTGCTTTCATAACATACAACTACGGATGATATCACAACCGAATCCCATTCATAGAATCATACAGCACAGAAGGAGGCCATTCAGCCCATCGTGTCTGTGCCACCTCTTTGAAAAGAGCTATCCAAATCAATCCCATTCCATCGCTCTCTCCCCATAGCCCTGTAAACTTGTCCTCCCCAAATTATTATCTACTTCTCTCTTAAAAGCTGTTATCGAATTGGCTTCCACCACTTTTCAGGCAATGCATTCCAGATCCAAACAACTTGCTGTGTGAAAGAATTTCTCCTCACCTCCCCTCTATTTCTTTTAACAACTATTTTAAATCTATGTCCTCAGGTCACCGAACCCACCCACCAGTGGAAATAGTTTTCCTTGTCCACCCTATTGAATTTTGAAATTTCTATTAAGTCTCCTCTTAACCTTATCTGCTCCAAAGAGAATAATCCTAGCTTCTCTAGCCTCTCCTGATAACTGAAGTCCCTTATTCCTGGTACCATCCTGGTAAATCTCCTCTGTACCCTCTCCAATGCCTTGACGTCCTTCCTAACGTGTGGTGCCAGAACTGAACACAGTACTCCAGCTGAGGCCTAACTAGTGTTTTATGACGGTTCATCATAACTTCCTGACTTTTGTATGCTATGACCCTATTTATAAAGCCTAGTATCCCGTATGCTTTTTTAACAGCTTTATCTACCTGTCCTGCCACCTTCAAAGATTGCTTATATGAAACATCGGGTCTCTCTGTTCCTTCACCCTCTTTCAGGTTGTACCATTGAGCTTATATTGCCTCTCCTCATTCTTCCACCCGTTCACGACCACTCTCTGCTTTCTGTCTCTCAGCCAGTCTGTATCCATTTAATACCGTGGGCTTCTATTTTGCTGACAAGTCTCTTATGTGGCACTTTATCAAATGTCTTTTGAAAATCCATATAAACTGCATCAACTGCACTACCTTCATCCACCCTCTCTGTTACTTCATCAAAAACCTCTATCAGGTTTGTTAGACATGATTTGCCTTTAACAAATCCGTGTTGGCTGTTCTTTATTAATCCATATTTTTCTAAGTGAAAATTTATTTTGTCCCGGATTATAGTCTCAAGAAGTTTCCCCATTACTGATGTTAGGCTGACTGGCCTGTAGTTCCCGGGTTTATCCTTCTGCCTCTTGTTGTACAGGGGAGTAACATTTGAACCCTCCAGTCCTCTGCTATTGTTCTCTCCTATTGTTTCCAAATGCACTCTTTCCAGCAAGTATCACTGGATACGAATCAGGAACGTGCCCCCTGGCCGATTCCTTCCCCACCCCAACCCCCTCCCACCAAAACGTAGGACACAGAACCCACTTGAAGTTCCCCTTCTAATGTGGCGGCTGAGATTAGCTAACTCAACACAGAGCAAATCCTGAACCTTTCTGTTGTGTATGAAGCTTTCACACTGTGGCATGTATGAGAGTTTGCATATGTAATTGTTTCACTGTTGCTATACAGTAGGGACACACTGTGTTGGAAATACATTGAAACAATTTGAATTTTGCTTCAGTCTTTGAACTTGACTTTGTGCCTCAGCATTTGAAGAAATATGTCTTTCTCATTCAGTCTGCCTCAAACAGACAGGTGGACTGATGGAAATGCTTCTATGCACCTGCAATTCCATCCTGAGCTTCGCCCACCAATGTCCGCATCAGTGCTAGAGCACTCACTAGCCCAGCACTGCCCCCACCAGTGCTAGAGAATTGCCCCACCAGTTTCCATCAGAAATGCACCCTGTGGAGTTGGGTGTGAATAATCATTCAACCATTCTATCGCCCCAGGGTGTTGCGTAATTGATCACTCCCTCTCCTGGAGGACACACATTCATGTTCAATCCTGTTTTGAGTTTTTCCATTTTCTTTGTCGGTTTCTTGCCAGCACATATTGCCTGCAGCCAGAAAAGTCTGACATACGTCTCCCCCGCCCCATACCCCTCCCTCTCCATCCCGTTCCAAGATCAGCCACAGGAAACAGAATGGAAAGGAGATGGGAGTGTCAGGATTTTCCTGCTTTGATGCCCATCCCTGTCTCTTTATGCCAGGACCTGCTCTGCTGAGATCAGTCAATTTGCAGGTATGAACAGGAGAGAACAATAATAATCCTTGCATTTGCGATAGGGCCTTCAGAGTCCCACAAACAGTCATGAATTGAGTGACCAAATTATTATTTTTTTTTGTTGAGGGATTATTACCCCCAGAAAGCGATCCACCAATCGACTAACAACCGGTTTCCTACTTACTGCTAAGATAAACAGAGGTGTATGGAGTAAGGAAACTTGCCCAACATTTTGCCCTGCCGGCAGTAGAACCCAGGTCTCTTGCTTGCGAGGTGAGTGCTCTAACCACTGAGCTGCAGGACTCTACTAGACAAGGGTAAGATTCACATCCCACTCACACTTCACTGCAGGGCAATCATTATCCTACTTGCTGAATAATGAAAAATTATTCATTGGAACAGATCTTAATTCAGCACACAAAATAATGCAATCTTCTTATTAAAGAAAATATTAAAATACAATATCGGATTTTTTTCAAACATGGTATCTAACTTTCAACAGTTGAAGATAAGTCAAGGATTTTCACCAGATGATAAAAAGGGAAGGATTCATTTATTTTTGCATGGAGTATATAAGATGGAATGACAAACCACAAATGGCAATTGAAACTGAATCAACAACAGCATTTAAAAGGTAATTGGATAAATATTGAGGGGAAAATAATATTAAAGAGTGGAGAAAATATAACAATGGTATTAGAATAGATAGAGGAGCACATAAATAATTGGCTGAATGGTCTTTTCTCTGCTGCAAAATTTCTAGAATTTGATACTTGCTGTTTGTGAACAAATCCATCAACATTTTTATATTTAGTTCAGACATATAGCTCTCTTTCGACTGAACAACTCCACCCCTTCTGTAGTTTTGCTCACCGTTTGATGACTCCTGTCACAATAACGCAAGCCAAAGTAATCTGTCTCCATCAAGTTTACATGTCTGAATACATATTCCAGGACAACAGATCCCTTGGTAGACTTCTGTAGGAAAGAATCATAGGAAAAGGTTTAGCAAAAGTATTAAAGTGTTGCATATCAGTGCAGTTTACTTCACACTGCTTATAAAGAGATTAATGTTTTATTTAATCTGGACAAAGACTCCTTTTTACATTTAAATCTTCTGTAATAATAATAATCCTTGCAATTCATATAGCCCTTATTACTTCTTTGAGACTTTTCAAAGTGCTTCATAGAATATACTGTAAAGCGAATTGACTGTATATTTGTTGGCGAAATGCAGCAGCCAATTGCGCACAGCAGAGTCTGACAAACAGTCGTGGAACGAGTGACCAAATTATTTTTTTTTCTTGAAGGGATTATTACCCCCGGAAAAGCGATTCACCAATCGACTAACAACCGGGTTCCTACTTACTGTTAGGTGAACAGAGGAGTGTAAGGAAACTTGCTGAAGGTTTTGTTCTGCCCGGGAATCAAACCCAGGTCCTCTCACTTGCGAGGCAAGTGCTCTAAACACTAAACTATAGTAGGCCACGATCTGATATAGTGCCTTATCACATTGTTTAGATGTCTGAAAGCGCTTCACATGATGTACTGTAAAGTGGGTTAACTGTGTAATTATGGGCAAAATGCAGCAGCCAGTTGCACACAGCAATGTCCCACAAACAGCCATGGAGTGAGTGACCAATTTTATTTGGGGGCTTTATTGGCTAGGACACTGGGAGAAGCTCCCTTCTCTTTTCAAGTAATGTCATGGGATCCTTAACATCCACCTGAACAGACAGCTGAAATGGATGTCAATTTTGTTAGTGTCTCTCTTGCTGATAGTTACAGCAGATGGTTAATGCTACTGAGTTACCATTAACCCAGCAGGAATATTCAAATTATGACAATGAAAATGTCAAACTGTTTTCTCCTAATAACCAGCCGTCATATATATGGGGCTTAACAAATATGAAGATCTTTATGGAAGTGTTAAGATCACAATAGGCAGAAAATAATATACCAGCAAAATGAAAGAATGAGATTTTAAAGATCCAGCAAACATGATATCACTATCCTTTCTCCATGCTGCTGTAACTTAGAGCAGAAACTCATTGTGTGAAGATTATTTTCCTTGGAGGCATCTATCCAAGGTAATGAGAAAACACTTCATTAAAATGGCAACCATCCACAGAGATGCCAATAGTTATTATCGACGGTGAGGATCATCCTCTTTCTTTTCCTCTGACCTTTCCAGCTTTTGTTCTGATATCCACTCTAGCTCCCCAGATTTAGAGCCAACAAGGGTCTGGATTGAAATCCAAAAGAGTCCATTCAATTGTTCACCATTTGAGGTGAATATGATGAGTATCATGTGTAATAATAATCATGTTTGTGAGAGAGGAGGGAATGAGTGGGGTCTCCATGGGGCAGAAACAGCCCCAAGAATCATACTATACGGTAATCCAATGCACTGTTGATGGTTACTCAGCCAGTTCCGATCAAAGAGATTTGGATGCTAACACATCTTCAACCCTGGCAGCCAAAGCCCTAATAGGCTTTCTAAGCACAGCACTGCATAGATACGTTCTTCAGTATCTTTATTCTCCCCATCAACAGATCAAAAATAAATTATCCATCCTCTAACTGCCGGGATTCAACAGGTAATATCCTAGTACAGCCTGCACTACTAGCCCTTAATAATAATAATAATAATCCTTGCATTTGATATAGCGCTTTTCATGTCGGGAGGACGTCCCAAAGCGCTTCACAGAACACACTGTAAAGTGAATTGACTGTATATTTGTGGGCGAACGCGGCAGCCAATTGCGCACAGCAATGTCCCACAAACAGTCGTAGATTGAAAATGACCAATTTATTATTGTTTTTGGTTTTGGAGGGATTATTATTAGGCTCTGTGTGGAGTAAAGAAACTTGCCCAAGGTTTCGCCCTCTGCCTGGAATTGAACTCAGGTCTCTTGCTTGCAAAGCGAGTGCTCTAACCACTGAGCTACAGGACTCTCTTATCCACTCCAAACACAATGTTGGGTTCTTGCTAGCATATATTCTTTGGAGTTACATGAGGGTAAGAGAGCACACATTGACATGAGAAGGATCCCAGGATTTGCTTCTCCTCTCATGTGTGAGCTATCAGTTTGCTCTTACCTGCTCCTTAAATCCCATGTGGGCAAAATGCATTATGGTATTTGAACTCGTGAACTGTGATAATGTCTCATACTCGCAACAGACTCACTAGCTTATTTTTTACCTCTGTACTCTGTTCTTTATTTTTTCTTCACAGTAATCCCTGCAATATTGCATCGAGAACTGATTCAATCTAGTTGCGTATTTAAATTAATAGAATCTGTGGCCTCTTGCACTGCAGTAACTACAAAAAATACCATGATTCTCAGTTTGTCTGCTATGCAGTTACCTGTGTTCCAAGCTGATGATTCTTGCCTGATTGCTCTATTCCACAATTAGAGTTTCAAAGGCTGCACTGTCTTTGGGGTGAAGTGTTTTTAGAAGGGTTTTGAAACGGGTATTGGAGGGTGCAGGGGGAGGGATTAATAGACAGAGCCGGGGCAAAGAGGTGGAAAGGAGCAGGAGCCAGGTGGTGGTGTGGATGTGTTTAATCTTCCCAGCACTTTTACAGGAACCTAGTGTTTCTTTAATGTCAATGTGCACTCTCTTACACTCATGTAACACCTGAACTGATGGTTTATCTACAATAATTCTCCTTGCCAATAAATGGACCAATTTTAACAATCTGCTTTTTTTCCAGATTAGCTTACTGCTGTGCCATTTAATACATACTCTTTTTTTCTGATTACTTAATTCTTTATTTGTAATTTTACACTAGCTACCCTGAAATGCCACTGCCGACCAATGGCCCAGCTGTCCAAAGAATCCAAATCAGTCTGAATCTGGTTTCAAAGGAATTGCTGGATGAAAAAAGATCAAGGTCCATCTAGTTCACCTTCTACCATCCTGTTGGTCGCATGCTACAATAATACTAATAATAAATAATAGAGATGTTGACTAAACGTTGGCATTCAATCTCTATCGATTAGTCTATAATAGACTCAGGCATGAGGGGAGAAAAACCTGCCAGAGATGGAAAGGTTTGGCAACCTTAGGTCCAAAGTTGCTGTTTGTTATACTGATCTTCATTATTTGATCTACCCACTGGTCCAAGATTATCTGCAGACTTTCTCACAATTTCCTGCTTCAAGTCATTGATATCCATTAAAATACCAAATGTCCCATGGAGAGCCACGCTTATAAGCATGTTCCAGCTTTGGAAATTCCTTTTTGTGGGTAATTTTCTACCCATCTCCAATCTTCATCACCCATCTATGATTCCTTATCTTATCTATTTAGTGTCCATATAGAAATGTGTCAAAAGCTTTTTGAAACATCAAGCACAAAACACTTGTTTATCTATTTGTCAAACTCATTACCTCTGTTTATCACTTCAGTAATACCTTTGAAAATCTCTAACAGGTTAGATATGCATGATCTCCACTTCCCAATCCTCACTGGATTTTGATGAGTTTTCAACCACTGACTTAACTCAAAATTATTTCAATTACTTTTCCTACAATATTAACAGGTCGATAATCTGGGAATCCTGATAGTCTTTATAGTTTCTGCAGTGTAAGATGCAAGTTCCCGGGTTTGCCCTGGTCAAAAAATATTCTGCACTTTAGGAATCTCTCTTAAATTTACAAAACAAATGAAAAATCAATTGAACCTCATTCATTTCAATTCCATCTTGATTTCATCAACACATTTAAATGGAAAACTTGTATACATGAAGGAGAAGAGAATGCAGGGGTATAGGTGAGGGGATTAGGAGTGGTACAGACTCGGGGGCAGACTATTTGGACCAAATCACCTGTCCTGTCCTGCAGCATTCCATGTCATTCTATGTGAATTTCTTTGAAGGTTAAGAATCCTGGCGTGAGCAGTATTGTGTGTGTACTTTATTATGAAGGAACACTTTATTATTCTGGGGTTTCAGCCTGGCTCTGAGTCAGAAGGTTGTGGTTTGACGACCCAAGTTAAACCTTTGAACTCACTGACCAGGCAACGCTGACATTGTAGCGATAAAGGTGCAGCTTACTACTGGGAATCGCTGGTTTGAATCTCATTCCAAGCTGAGTTTGCTGGTCTCAACTGGGCTGTATGGCAAGGTTAAGATGGTTCTGGTTGATGGTAGGTTAAGCTGGTTTTGGTCTTCCCTGGTTAAAGAGAGTAAAAACAGCCAGGATTTCTGCTCTGCTCTCTTTAACACCACACAGTATTGTGTGGCCACCGGGTGAGGACAGTCAGGCTCAGCTGACTCTACAGTTGAGTGGCTTGTTGACACTCACTGCCAAGGCTCACTGGCTACTTGGAAAAGCTACGGAATGAAACCAGTATCCGTGGAACCACACAGGACCGAGGATGAGGAGTCTTGGGACCCGGGGCCTGGGGTATTCTCTTACACATATAACAAAGCATATATAATTCCGTGACTCATAGAATTGTGAATCTGTTCATTCCTTTTTTCAATGTTTCAATCAAGTTCACATTCGCTGCCTCAGGCAACAATCTATGGTTAATTAAAAAAACACTAGTTTCCTGTAAAAGTGCTGGGAAGATTTAACACAGCCACACCACCACCTGGCTCCTGCTCCTTTCCACCTCTTTGCCCCAGCTCCATCCATTAATCCCTCCCTCTTGCAACCTCCAATACTGCTTTCAAAACCCTTCTAAAAACACTTCACCCCAAAGACAGTGCAGCCTTTGAAACTCACTAATTGTGGAATAGAGCAATCATACCTCAATTTTCTTCTGGTTTACTAGTTCCTCAGCTATAAGCACAGGTCAGAGTTCTCTTGCACCAGTTCACCATATCCACTGAATGCCTTTGCTATTTAAAAACATGCATTTCATTAATTTTGTTTTAAGCAGTGGTAACAAATTGCAGTTCAAGCTTTTTCCAATCTCTATATTATTGTACAGTGATCAGGACTCAACACAATTAATACAGA